TAGTAATTACACCAATTCCATCTACAAGGTGGCTTTCCAAATAGACTGTTCATTTCTTTTTTGGAAATTTTACCTCCTATAGCAAAGCTATACACCCTATTTATTATAACCAAAATTATTTTAAAATAATATTTTCTATAGCTAAATTAATATTTCATAGCAAAATAGATGTTATGGTATATACTACCATTGAGGCATGAAATACGCCATTTATATTTTTTCCTCTCTCTTTCTTTCAATTAACACACAATTCTCTCTCAGAATTTTTCTTCTTTCTCTCTCTCTTTCTTCTCTCTCTCTCTTCGAGCAAAATAGGCTGAATCCTCTAAGGTTACTGCAATTGAATCTCTCAGCTTCGTCGATCCTCTCAATTTTCTTATTATGTTGAAGGCTTGTGAATTGTTTTTCCCAAAAAATTGAGCTTACCTGATCTCAATTCAATTTGCTCATGAATCTGAATCATTTGTTGAAGCCTCCATATCTGCAAGATTTCTTCCTTTAAAATTCTCCCCGTACGTGAGGTTTCTTATCTTGCTTGGTGACATACCCATTCAAGTTTGCAAATTCTTTGTGAAAGGTTACGTCACACTGTCTTCCTTCGAACTGATTAAAGGCTTGCCTTATTCTTCTGGTTGCATTATTTTTTGAAGCATTGGAGTTCTTTAGTGCGACGTGTATAGTCAGCACAAGGAGTCTTGGCCGGAAAATGCCATCTCCGACGAACTTTCTTTTTTTCTTTGCTATTTAGTCACAAAAATGATATAAATACATTGTATTCTGTACAAAGTCGCTCAACCACATTGCGTTTTTGTATAAATATAGTTTTTGGCCTGTATTTATGTATTTCGAAGGTCTGTATTTTTTTTATACAGCTGAATACAAGATATAAACATTGAAATGCACTGAATACAAACATTAAAATAGAACAGAATATAAACAGTGAATACATTTAATTTTAAAATACAGTAAAATGCACTGAATATAAATAGAAATATAGTAAGTACAACCAATGAAATATACTGAATACAACAGTAATAACATGTATTAGGAACAACTAAAATATACAAATATATTTGAATACACCAAATATAAAATAGCGAATACAGTAAATACAAACATTGAATCTAATGCAACAGTAAAAATAAAATATTGAAACACACTAAATACAAAAGTTAAATATAACTGAAAAATCATTCTAATAAATTGGGTTGATAATGGGGCATGTTAGAATTGATTTTGTTGAGTTATATTAGGAGTGTATCACATTAATTGATATTATTTTCGTTATTAGACAGCTGGACAGACCTATTTTTAAGGTGATTGTCGTTACTTATTCATGAATATATGGCGCGAATACATGTGCATACATGCACGTACAGCTGGACTGCCCTGATTTTAGGCGCTTTTGGCTGCTGTATTCATGAATACAGCAGCGCGAAATACAGCGAATACACTACCGTAACAGTGAAATAGTAGCTATAAAAAATAATTATGTATATAATAGCTATAGGAAGTCAATACCCACTAAACAATATGGGTTCATAAAAATTCCTTTCTTTTTTAGCAAAATAGTAAGTCCAGTCCATTTATGTAATGTAGTTTTTGGGCCCATTTTATACCGCAACTCTAGATATACACGGGGAGAATGACACAAAAAGGATATGTTGAGATTTTTTTTGACCCCGATAATAAAAGTTGCGAAAAATAATCTGCCGTCAAATTTTAAAGTATGCTTGCTAGAATTTTAGTAAGTTATAGTGATTGTCAGGGTTAGTGGCAAAGTCCTGATAGTCACTAGAATTTATCAGAATTGTGGCTAAATTTCTGGTGCTTCCGAAATTTGGGCGATTGATAGATTGCTTCCCAAAATTCTGACCAGTGTGCTTCAAATTCTGCCATAGGCTATTTTTTAAATATTTTTCTTAACAGGATCAAAATTTAAAAGGTGGTACTAAAAAGAACCACCCAACGTAATTTTTAGTATACAAAACTGTAACTGTTTATTTGTAAAAATACTTAATAGCATCTTAAAGTGTTAGCTTTTAATTAGCTAACCGAAACGAGCTCTAAATATACACAAATATTGTAAAAATATTACACTATAAAGTAATTTATATAGTGTCACGATTCCGGTTCGCCCTCCGTGAACCATCGTGACGGCACCTAGTCTCTACGACTAGGTAAGCCTTACAATGCGGTTTGCGGAAGAAAAAGATAAAAGCGAAATAGTGAAATAAAACAGTGTTTAAAATACCGCTCGGCATACACAAGTCCAACTCTCGAAACTAATAACAATTCTCAAAACCCGGAATCTCATGATCACAAGCTTTGAATGTCTAATAGTATCTAACTCCAGAATATCTAAATAAGAAAGGAAATACAGAAGGGCTAATACTTAAAGCAAGAGTAGAAAGGGACTCTTCGGTCTGCGGATGCGGCAGATATACCTCGGAGTCTCTACAAGCGCCTCCCCTCAAGCGTGATAAGTCTGAGTGGAAGAACCTGGATCTGCACATGAAAAACATGAGCAGGAAGGACATGAGTACACCACAGCGGTACTCAGTAAGTGCCAAGCCTAACCTCGATCGGGTAGTGACGAGGAAAGTCAGGGCCCTACTGAGGTTAAAGGAAATACAAGGTATAACAGTGTAAAATAAGCAGTATAGTTAAGTGCAACAGTAAGAAGTAACACAGGATAGAAAGAACAACAACAGCTATAACAGGGACAAAATAATCACGGAAAGGAATACAGCTCACATAGAGATAACAACCCGGGATCTCCCAGGATACCGTCCTGTAGTCCCAAATATAAATATCCAGTGGATCTCCCGGGATACCGTCTCGTAGTCCAACTTATAATGCGCGGGGATCTACCGGAAATCCCGATCCGTAGTCCCAAATGTAAATACTCGGTACTGGGGGAATCTACCTGGTGCAATCCCGTAGTTCCAATATAAAAGTGCAGGGGGATCTTCCGGAATACAAATCCGTAGTCCCAAAGTAAACATACAGGGGGATCTCCCGGGATACCGTCCCGTAGTCCCAAAGTAAACACACAGCAACAACACAAAAGAATACTTAATTCAATTCAAATTTCCATACCAAGTAAAACCAGGTATTTCTAGCCTAGCATGCTGCACATAATCCAACTAAGTCAATTTGAGCAAGTAAAGCAATTAAGTCAACTAAACATGCTTCCCTAGGCTAATAGCAAACTTAAATTACACAGGGTATGAACAGGAAAAAGGAGATCACAATTATGGTTACTTAAAGAAAACGGATTTTCGACAATTAGCACAAGTACGAACTCGTCACCTCACGTACAAGGCATTTCAATTATCAACAAACCAAATCCTAAGGGGAGTTTCCCCCACACAAGGTTAGACAAGCCGTTTATCTCGAACCGGCTCAAAATCAACCCGAAACCACGCTCTTGCCACGAGTACTCGACTCCAAATGACCCAAATCTATTCAATTCAATTGCATAATGTAAATAACACTTCAAGTAACTGATTCTACAATTAAATTCTAAGCTAATACGCGAAATTAGGGTAAAATAACCAAAACGCCCTCCGGGCCCACGTCTTGGAATCAAGTAAAATTTATATTTTCAGAATCCTCGTATTCTCAGGAGTCTAACCATACCAAGAACACTGAAATCGGAGTCCAAATGACCCCTCAAATTCACATTTTAAGGTCTGTTAATCTCAAGCCCTAATTACCCATTATTGCACTGATTTCTCCAAATTCTCACCACTAATTAGACCTTTAATCACATATAAACGAGTTATAAAGTCAAGAATATTACCTCCAAATGATTTCCCTTTGGTTTCCTCAAAAATCTCTCTCAAAAGCTTCAATCCCGTTCAAAAATGGTGGAAAAATGGAGAAGGGTCGCGGATTGGGCTATTAAAACACTGCCCAGCTTTTAAATTTCCTTCACTGCGATCGCGGAAATAGCCTCGCGATCGCGAAGCACAAATACTGACTGACCCCAAATTAACCCTACGCGATTGCATAACACACCACGCGATCGCGTAGCACTGCCTTGGCTTCGTTACGCGATTGCGATCCAACTCACGCGACCGCATATAACAACCTCACCTCTCACTCCAGCCCCCTTTTCTTTTACGCGAACGCGGCATTGACCACGCGTTCGCGAAGAACAAACACTCAACCAAACGCGATCGCACTGAACAACTTTCACCTCTGCCCCACAAAGCCTACGCGATCGCAGAGAACAAATGTCTGCAACAGACCTGAAGCAAAATCTGCAACTTCTCAACATGTAATTTCATCCGTTTGACCACCTGAAATTCACCCGAGGCCCTCGGGACCTCAACCAAACATGCCAACATATTCCATAGCATCATTCAAACTTGTTCCAACCTTCGGAACGCTCAAAACAACATCAAAACATCAAATTTAACATCGGATTCAAGCCTAAGAACTTCAAAACTCTCAAAATACGCTTTCGATCAAAAAGTCTATCAAACCTCGTCCGACTGACCTGAAATTTTGCACACAAGTCACATTCAACACTACGGATCTACTCCAACTTTCGGAATTCCATTCCGACCCTCGGATCAAAATCTCACTATCGAACCGGAAACTTCAAAAATTCAACTTTCGGCATTTCAAGCCTAATTTAGCTACGGACCTCCAAAACACCATCCGAACATGCTCCTAAACCCGAAATCACCCAACGGAGCTAACGGAACAATCGGAATTCCATTCCGAAGCCGTCTTCATATTGTTCCGACTACGGTCAAATTTTCCAAAACTTAAGTTCTCATTTAGGGACTAAGTGTCCCAAAACTCTCCGAAACTCCAAATAATTCCTCCCGGCAACTCACGATAGCAACAACAAACACGGGGAAAACAATTAATAAATCGGGGCGTTAATTCTTAAGACGACCGGCCGGGTCGTCACATCTAGTTATCACAAGTTATTTCATTTATTTTCCATGTTATTAGAATAGACTTGCTACAAACTACAAAAATGGAGGAAAATTGCGGCGGGTTACATATGGCGGTTTGCCAAACCGCCATAATATACCATATTGTGGGGCAGCTTTCAATCCGCCATGCCAGACATTTGTAAAACGGCGATTTAAATGTATTTTACGGCGCTTTGAACCGCCACTGCTTATATTTTAATTTTTAACATGTTTTCTGGTTTATTTCAAATATGCTAGACATCTAATACTCACAAATAAACGAATCCTAGATCTATGTATTCTGCCTCTCCTTCCCACGAAATCTGGCTCAAATCTGGATCATTGACGCGGTGACTCCCACTCCTCTCCTCTCCTTTTCTAATCTCTGCTTTCCCTCTCCTCTTCTCGCCGGGCTCGCAAATAGTTCGCTAACCTCCATCGTGCCAGGTACGATTTTTTGTTGCTTGTTTCTTTATAGATTTTATATTTCTGGTGTTGTAAGGAAAGTTCCTTATGATTGAAAATTGCTAGAAGTACTATTGGTTTGGTTAGAACTTGTCCCTAAGTGTAGGGATGAGAGAACCCTTAGTTGGACGTTCAAAGATATAATAGCAGCGAAATGTGTACAGAGGATTGTATAGTGGTTGTTACTAGTTTAGGATCAAGGCGTAGTTGATGATTAAATCAACAGTTGTGTTGTGCCGTAGTGTTTCATGGTCATTTATATCTCCGTATACGAGCTATGAAATTCTGCATAGGCTAACTTTGCTAGCCATTTCAGTGGTTTTTTTCCATAGGCTAACTTCACTAGTGTATTCACTAATCAAGGTTAATACATAGATTCAAGGAGTAATGTGGTTTTGCTGATTAATCATGTACATTATCAAGTATTCAATTTGCATTTCCTTAAGTCTAAGGTTAGTTTATCTAACTCCTTCTTTTTCATGCCATATCTATATTAAGTATGTGCACAAATCGAATCTGTGGTGCCTAAAAAGATTGCGAATTTAATCAATTGTTATGATTCTGCAATTAGGAGAGTGGCCTAACTCCTCGAGCCATCAGATGGAATAGGATGACTTGATCCCCACAAAGTGTTTGACAATATGCTTCACTGAAAACATAAATTTTTTACATCTCTGTGGGGGTTAGACAATGTTTGAAAATGATATTAAATGTTGATCATGATCTTAGCATTGATTAATTGTCAAGGAATATCAATTTGGGTCTTGATGAAAAGAAGAATCAAGTGATTTTCTCTTTTAACTTACCTATCTGTGGGATAATGTTTTACTTGATTTGAGGTGTTCTTCATGATTAATATCTCTGTTGTTGGTTCCTTAACTATAAGTCTAGTCTGGATGAAAAAAAAAAAGGGTCTAGTCTGGATTAGAAATTTACCGTGAATTGAAGCTTGGTCGAATTTGCAGAAAATGTTGCGAATGCAGCTCGGGTACAGTGTACGCATCAAGGTTACACAGTGTCTTGCGGAGGGTTCGCGAGTCTCATTGTGTTTTCGCTCGAAGGGTAAATATGTTCTCCTTACTCTTCTTTGTTTTCCTTTTTTTTTTGTATGTATCCTGCGTACTCGTCTTAATCTTAAGTATGCCTGGATCATTTTGGACTGGATAGTTTCCTTCCATTAAATTATTCTTTTGGACTAAATTATTCTCGTGATATATCTTCCATGAAATTCTAAGACCTCTATTTTTTGCTCTCTCAAAATCAGATATTGGGTTGTAAGTTGTAACAAACTCTTTTTGAGGAGGCAATGAAATGTCTTTTGTCAGAAGTAGGATGGAGTAATGTCAAGGGGTTAAGCATGATTAGCCTTTGGAATCCGTTATAAGTGCGATCTCAATGAGACCCAGCTATGGCTCAAAACTGAAAGTATTCTTCCTGCTATCCAAGGTATTGATACTCTCATTCCTAAGAGTGTTCTGTGCGGATTAAAGTTCAGCAACTGTAAAAATGTACATATGGAGTTTTTCTTTTTTTGCTTTTTTCATCAAATAAATGCACTATGAAGGTTCATTCAGCAGCAAATTGATCATAATCTCTCGCTTGATGAGTAAGGGAGTTCTGTGAGCAAATATTGTCTCGTATTTTGTAGTTGCACTGGGAAAAAATTTCAGTTGTTCTATATATGCATATTATATTGGTTTGTAGCTTGATCATTGTGAGCATGTGATTTTTGCCTCGCTTGAACTATTCCTATAAAATTCTTAAAAAATTGGGATTTTTCTTTATTATTTGAATTTTAGGGAATTAATTGCATGATTTTTTGTTTGATTGCATTTTTGTGTGCATTATTAATTGATATAAGTCACAAAAAAAAAAAAAATACAAAATAGCATACTTGCATTTAGAACCTCATTTTAACATTTTTATTAGTTAATTAACCTTACAAAAAATAAGAGAAAATAACAAAATAGTCCTTTTGCATTGTTTTACTTTTAATTTTTGATTTTTCCTTGAGTTTTCTTTTTAAACTAGGATTTGTTTAATTTTTGAGAATTAATTAGTTTAATTTTAGAGTTAAATCAGGTCTTGTCTATTTTTAATTTTGTGCTTAATAAAATCTAAAAATTGAATAAGAAAAGGAAGGAAAGAAGAAAAACAAACAAAAGAAATTGAGAATGAAAGGAATTTAAAAGATTAATAGGCTGGTGTGTGTAACTTGGGCCATTTCTAATTCCAGCCCAAGTCAAACTCCTCAGAACCGTTTCAATTCAGCCCAAACTTATAGCCAACCCGGTCCATCCCTCAGATCATAAAACGACGTCGTTTTGGGGTTAGGCAATCTGGGCCGTCGAGGATCTTTGATCCTACGGCTTAGAACTAGGTTAAGCTTAATATTTAAATGTCGGATAGGCCCCCCCCTACACCTCAATCGTCTCCCATTCTCTCCCTGTAACGCCGGCGTAACACCTCCACTTTTCCACCGTCCTCCGCCGCCCGCCGCCCGCCGGAAATCGCCTCCGCCGGCGGCGATTCTCCGATGAACCCCAAAATTACGCCATAGATACTCCTCCACGTCCTCTTTCTATATCCGGATTTAGTTTCCCTCAAATCACAACCAAACTCCTCGAATATTAAATCAAAATTCCGGCCAAAACCCTAACTCTTCCAAATCCAACCAAAATCACACCCTATAGTCTCCTTGACCTCCTCATCCTGAATCTCAAACCAGAACCCTTCAAATCCAAGTGGAGCCCCATGAATTTAAGATCTAGGGTTCGAAACTTTCAACCTGTTTTGGGAGTTTCAAGTGTTCGAGTGATTTTTAATTAATGTTATATGTCTATTTTGGACAAAATAAACATATAACATTAATTAAAAATCAAATTTGAGGTCAGTCCAATTGAAGATCAAATCAGTAAGTTTCTTCTTGGTTTGATTATTTCCTTTTTATGCTTGATTCTATTCTCATGAGTTTTTGATTTTATTTTAGTTTAATCTTTGTTTTGATTTTGTTCATGGTCGATTCTGTTCTTGTGATTGTTTTGATTTTTAGTTTTAATTTTTGTTTTGATTTGGTTTATGGTTAATCCTGTTTTTTTGATTTCTGATTGTAGTTTAATTTTGTTTCGATGTATATTTTTGTTTCAATTCAGTGTTTGTTTCTACTAGTATAGGTTTTAGTTTTCTTTTAATCTTTCAGGCAATCCTGTTTAGTCAGTGTTTGATTTTTATTTTTTTTCTATTATTTCAGTGTTTAGTTTAATCAATAATTTCTTATTGTTGCTGTTAGTTAGTTTTATTAGTTTAATTGTTTGGATATAGCTGAATTAGAATTCTTTGAGTTTAACTATAGTCGAAATCTGACTAGGGTAAAAGGGGGCTGGATTAGTTAGTATAGGATAATAATTTCAGATTGAATGAAGGGTAGTATAGGCATTCCAAAATAGAGAATAATGCCGTAGAGGAAACTAGAACTTCCTAGAATCTTCTAGAATAGGGTTTTAGTTGGGAATATCAGTAACTTAGTGCAGTAACTTGGGCAACAAGTCAAAACCTTAGGGACTAATTAGTAGAAACTGAAAAATAAAAGAAGGGGCAAGGGGGTAAATGTAAAATCTGAAACTTCCCCTAGTCTTGCCTATAAAAGACAGTCCCTACTGCCTTGTTTCACAAGTTTTTTAGATCTGAAAATTTGAATTTCAAAATTCAAAAACCAAAAAAAAAAAACTGAGATCTGAGAATTTGAGAGTTCCTTCTAGATCTTAAATCTTCAAAAACCAAAAACAACACAAAAAACTCCAAAAAAATGCTATTCTATTGAAGTTTTTTGTTTAATTTCGAGTTCTGGCTGCTGATTTGAGTTTCCAGCTTAGATAAGGATAGAAATAGCTTAAATATTCCTGGTGTTTGGTTGCTGAAGTTCAGAAGTTTTCCTGGGTTTTATTCCAAGTCTGTTTGGGTTCGTTTGGGTCTTAGCTTTGGTCATTTACTGGTGCTGTTCTCCTGATTCAATTCCTGGGTTTTGGATTTGAGTTTGCTGTTTCCTGTTGAAGCTTTTGCATCTGTTCTTATACTGCTGCAGCTGACCTCTCCTTCTCCTCATTTTGATTCCATTTCCAGGTACCTTTTTAGCTTCAAGTGTTATGTGAAGAATCAGATCAACCTGAACACTTCTGAAGTTCAATAATGGACAAGTTGTTACATGAATGTTTTGCTGTGTTTCATTTCATTTTTGATGTTCAGCATAAGTAATATTATTTGAACAATAGTTTAGTCATGTTAATGGGACGTTTGGACTGTTGTAATTGGACTGTCTAGATTGCTTTTTTTTTTTAGTTGTATTAATGAGATTGTCTAACACAGTTGTTTAGTATAGCTGTAGTATAATTCAATTTCATTTGGAATTTGATGCCATGTTAATATAGATACTGAATTATAGTTAAATGCATGTCCAAAAGAATTTGTCAATGACTCATGTAGGTTTAACACAGTTCTGGAATTAAGCTTTAACATTAGCGTTTTTTTATATTAAAAGTATGCAAATCTAGACACAAACATGAAATCCAGATTTAAAATCAGCATGTGGATTGAAGCATTCAATAGCTTGTTTTGACACATTGTATGATCCAATTTTGGTTTAGTTATTCAGGTGAATCATAAATTGTCCAATGGTTGTCATAGCATATTCATTTTTGAATCATTTAGTTGCCGTATTTGTCAAATTGTTAAGGCTAAATTGTCTCAAATTCTGAAAATAGTCACTTATTCGATGGTTCAGAAGTTAAAAACCGATATCAAAATCCATGAACACAAATAGTTATACTGGGCCCAATCGTATTAATAATAGGCCAAGTAGGCTATGAGGCCCCCTAATACTGATCTCCTCCATTTGGGCCTCTACAAAGGGCCAAGGCCTGCCAGCCAGCATCCCATGAGTAGGGGTGTTCATAAAAACCCGAAAAACCGAACCATACCGAAAATCAAACCAAACCGACCAAAAAAACGATACTTTTTGGTTTGGTTTGGTTTTGGTTTTGAATTTTAAAAATCGATCAAATCTGGTTTGGTTTTGGTATTAATCAGAAAAACCGAACCAAACCGACTATGCGAGTAGCTATTTCAAATTTATTATTACACCTATATATATGTATATTGTTATACAAAGTTTCAAAAACTTTATGGTAAATGTTAATAGTTTGCACTTTTAATATAGTTCTTTACCTTTACATTCTAGTTTGATTGGTAGTTCTCTTTTGTTAGTGTAAGAATCCATTTCGTGTTAAAAATAACATATTCTTAATTGAGTCCTTAAATTATTCATCACTATTTGATTCAATTATCATCAATATATCTTAGTAAATAATAGATTTCTCAAAGGGCAATTGATTTGATAGTTTACATTGAAAATGTGGTCGCCGGAATATGTGTTTGGTAGTGTATGTCTTATATTTAAGAAAAAACTGACAAATAATCGAAAAAACCGAAAAACCGACATAAACCGAATCGAGAAAAACCGACTTAATTGGTTTGGTTTGGTTCTAATATTTGAAAAACCGACTTACTTGGTTTGGTTTCTTTTTAGGGAAAAACCGATCCAAACCGAACCATGAACACCCCGACCCATGAGATCCTATTGAAATTCTTTTAAAGGTGTAATTTGATTTAGTAATATATTTCCAGGCTTTCCAAGTTAGGTAGCGAATTCAAATTAAGAGGTTTTCCTCTTGTTTAAATTCGGACTTGAGCTTGAGGCCCGAATCTCATAATGCTAATTAATTAGGCCCTTTAGAGACAATAATTGATAGAAAATCGTAGTTCTTTTTGGTTGGCCTTTAAAATAAAAACGAGGTGCCGCGCCATATAAAATTCATAAATTGCGTGGCCCTCTTTAAATGTTTATACTAAAATACTTAGAATTCGGGACGTGCCATTTAGCGAATTTTCATGGCCTCCTGCAAAGTTAATAACATGTTAGTCGCTTTAGGCGCGTTCTTTAATAATTTTACCTCCCTAAACTCGGGTGTGCATTTCATGTGACCCTAATCCAAATCCCAAAACGTCGAATAAAATGTGTCGAGGATCCGGGTGCATTTCATGTGACGTGATCCGAAAACATATTTTAAACGACGTTCAATTTCCTAAAAATTAATTAAAAGCGGTAAATAATTTTAAAATTGCACCATAGGATGACATGTATAAAAATCAGATTTTTAGCCAATTATAATGGTTTAAGCGACCGTGCTAGAACCACGGGATCCGGGGGTGCCTAACACCTTCCCTCGGTTCAACAGAATTCCTTATTCCGAATTTCTGGTTCGCAGACTCCATTCGGGAAGTCAAAATTTCCTCGATTTGGGATTCAAGATAAACCGGTGACTTGGGACACCAAAAGCCAAACCTATCCCAAGTGGCGACTCTAAATAAATAAAAAATTCCATTTCGAATAATGTCACTTTAAATGGAAAAACTCCCTTATACACGATCCTTCGGGGTAGATGTGTAAAAAAGGAGGTGTGACAGCTCTGGCGACTCTGCTGGGGATACGAACCCAGAATTTCGGTTCAGGGTTCAAGAATTCGAGCTTACAATAACTGTTATATTTGGCTTATCTGATTTTCCTACATGTTCCATGCTATATGTGCTAAATGTTTTACCGCTTTGATATTTGTTGAATTGTATATATAAACTGTTACGAATCCCTTCCTCTCTCTGAGTCTTCTACATCATGGAGAAGGGTGCACTTCGTGTAGCTTCTCTTCTGTTTAGAGTCTTTTCCCATTTAGAACGAGGTTTGGATAAGTTGCTAAGCCGGCGGAGCTTCTGTATCCCCGGTACGCTGCCTCCCCCTCGGCTCGAGTTGTCCGCTCGGGTAAGCCAGGTCTAGACCAATAAACCTAGGGTTTAAACCTAGAAGAACAAAACCTTATGCCGGATCCCTAGTAGGAACGTTTGTTTTCATCATGTGCATTTGACTTAGGGGACTAAACATAGGGGTTGGGTCCGTCTAGGACAGGTGACCTGAAATGAAAAAGACCATCCTGATGCATCTTACGTGCTACTTGTGCATTTATTTGCTTGGCTTTGCATGTTGACCGGCCTGTATACAATGAGAGGAAATTGAGAAAAATAGCAGTGTTAGGACTAAGTGAGGGTAACCACCTGTTTTGAAAAACCAATGCCCAAATAGTACCGAAATGCTGCCGGATTTTGAAAAAAATAAAAAAGGAAAATATTTGAAAAAGAAAATATTGTTGTTCAAATAAAAATATATTTGGTTTTGACGTTTTACCGAACTATGCTGGTTTGATTCTCACCGGATGTGAGATACGTAGGCAGCCCTCATCGAGTCCAACCTCCCTTTTGCAAAAGTAGCCCAAAAATACCAAATTTTAACTTTTGTCACAAAATAGGTCGGGTGATGCCATTCTTATTTTAAAATAAGCCGAATGTCCCCAAAAGGACGCCGGAAGGCTGTTTTTGCAAGAACAGCCACCCCGAGTCATTTTTAAACGGTTGACAGGCACATCCTTAAAATCTTCTTTCCCAAAGTGCTGAAAGGCCGTATCCGCAAAGCCGGAGTTTTGTTTTTGAAATAAAATTAATGAAAGATCAAAAATTCAAAAAAAAAATATTTTTCTTCTTCTTTCAAAATTACAAAAAAAAAAAAAAAAAAATCAAAAATCCAAAAGTATTTGCATTCTTCTTTCATTAAAATGAAATTTAAGAATCGAAAGTATTTTCTTTTTCTTTGGAAGTAGTTCTTTCATAAATTGAAAAATAAAATCCAAAAATCCAAAAAAAATATTTCCTTTAAAAGTTTGTCTTTCGAAAACAAACAGAAAAAAGAGTTAAAATTCAAAAAAAACAAAAGAAGTTTCTTTCTTCTTTAGAAATCTTTGTTTACAAAAATTCTTTTCGAAATCTGAATAAAGAACAAAAAAAAAAGAGAGTTTGTTTATTTACTTTATTCCTGATCTGCAAGAACTACACTTGGTCTGATTCATGCGGGGTCATGATACGTAGGCAATCTCCATAGGATTCGACCGTAACCCTAAGGAAAAGGGAGGAAAGAAAATAAAAGAAAGAACAAGAGAGGGAAAGAAAACAAAAAGAAAGAAAATAAGAAAACCGAGAGAAAGAAACCATAGCAAAGGCAAGAATGAAAGAAAAGAAAAGAGGGAGAGGAAAGAAAAATGAGAGAAAAACCAGAAAAGCAAGGAAAAGGCAGGAAAAAGAGGGTCGGAATAAAAAGAAAAGAATTTGGACAGGAAAAGCCGGGATGATGCATGCAACCGTTGCAAAACATATAGAAACACATTTAACTGTATAGGTGCATCACGCCTCAACGTGCGATTACCTATCTGTTACTTGTCCCAAACTAACCGTTGGCTGCTGTCAATTTCCAGCTTAGGTTTTTAGAAACGGTGGTTGGTTTTTGGTAAGCTGGCATCGCATCGATATTTCACCAGATCAAAAGAAGTACAGAAATGTCATCTGAAATAACTTTGCCACCAGTTCTCATCACCGAAGACAGCCCCATCTCAGGGATCCCGGCCTCCGAGTCTGCCACAGCTGAAGATTACGTCTCCGAATGATGGAGATGTGGGACGCATGGACTAATGGCAGGGAGCCTCCAAGTGCTATCCCTGGCTTTCCTGAATTGTTCCCGAGAATCGGGGGTACTTCTAACATCCCCATCAGTCACCCGAATACCCCGTATGCTCTCTTCATAGGAACACCTTCTGAGGTACGCCCCCAGGTGTTCACATTAGGAGTAACTCCCAATATTTTTACTGCTCCACCATGCTCCGCCACCACACAACCTTCACTACCTAGGCCCGCTTTTGATCCCTCGGCCTTCACTTTCCAAAATCCCATATTTCAAGCAGATCCTCCTCAATATCCCACATACATATACCCTCAGCCACTGCCATTCGAGCTTACACCGGGGCAGGATAAAACTCCCAAAGCTCCTGAACAAGATGAGATGTCGAAAAGAATGAGGAGCTTGAGCAGAGCTTAAAGAATATGCAAGGCTTAAGCGGGCAGAAAAGTGTTTCTTATACTGATCTGTGCATGTTCCCTCACGTGCACCTGCCCATGGGATTTAAAACGCCAAAGTTCGAAAAGTATGATGGGCATGGCGATCCCATTGCTCACCTGAAAAAGTATTGTAATCAGTTGCGCGGGGCCGGCGGAAAAGAAGAGTTTTTGATGGCGTACTTCGGAGAAAGCTTAGTAGGCATTGCCTCAGAGTGGTATATGGACCAAGACGTCTCAGGATGGCACATTTGGGACAATCTTGCCAGAGATTTTGTAAGGCAGTTTCAATACAACATTGACATCGCGCCAGACACGAACTCCTTGGAAAATTTGAAGAAGAAGCCCTCGCAAGTTTCAGAGAATATGCTATTAAGTG